GAGTGCTATGGAGTGCTATGGAGTCACATGTTCGGTTCTGAAATCGTATATTGTCCGTTCGAAACTGGTCCGGCTTGCTGATGAAACGATTGGCCAATGTTGAGATAATGCAGTCCAGGCAAGAGATGAGAACCGCATTATGAGATGCATAATTCAATGTCTTTAACTGGGAAAGCTGGTCTTTTCATTCGATTCAGGCTGATCAGAATCTCTATCTATTTCTCGAACAACAATTTGCAGAGAATCAGGGCAAAAAATGATGCCTTAATCTGAGGAAAATAAAGGAATGAAAAAGATGTTGGCGATTTTGAGGCACATAAAATTGTCATCTTCCTTTGATGCTTTCAATTTCACTTCTTTTTAAGGCATATGCTCAGTCAGGGTATGCATAAAATGCACTGGCCAGATGCGATATCCACTTGAAGGGGCCTCACATGAAATGTTCGAACTGACCAAAACCGTCCCACAGATTTCCTCTTCCTCTCTGCCAAATAACCCCTACTTTAGACTGTATCTAATAATACGATTTATGCATAATTAGGCTTCTATGAAGTGCTAAAATAAGTGAGTCGAGTGCCTTCTGAATACGTCCTTGCATGTGGTAGGAATTGAGAAAGGTCATATTGACTTGAATCTGATTCGGGCCCGGTAACTTGATGACATTAAAGGGGTTTATGCAAAGGATTTAATGAGTCCTCCTTGGAAAGAACAGGTCCTGGATTTTAGCCCTGCCAGATCAAAGCTCACTGCATCCCATTTGGTAGTAAATATTTTGCTTACATGATGTAGTGAAATTCTACGCGGCAACTATGATGTAGCAAGACAATGGAATATATTCTTCTGAGAATTACACTTTAAGTTGGTCTTTGCCAATTCCTTTCGTCAAAACACGATGTATGCATAACTAATTTTTGTCTCCTTCTAGCAACATTGTGGACGCACAAAATATGCACAGTCACATTGTGACGCTAAAAGATGAGAATACTCTTTGCCAAGTTCGTGATTTGTCTGCGTGTCGCTTAATAAATGATGAGCTTGCTGCCAACGACACCTTAAATGGATGACAGTCATATACTCTCAAGCTTTGGAATACTGCCAGGCTCAAAGTAGACTGAGTAAGGACGTCTGATTTGCCTAATTTACCTACAGAATGTAGGCCTAAGGCCATTTCTTCATCACCCGAAGCATGCAATGGCGACTTTGTACTTCGGCCATCTTTGCACTTTACATTGCCATCTGACGACAGGTATTCGCTTTAGATATTGGCACATTCATATAACCACATCTCGGGCTTCACTTTCATATATGCACATTTTTATGCTGCATACTTTACATGACTCATGACAACCCCGTTACTTTGGCTCGGGTATACTTCGTCCATGTCACTCTTTCTGACCCGACATCTTCCTTACCGATCATTTGGCAGACCAGTATGAAGCATGACAGTCTTGTTTTGTTTGTGCAGCTTTTGACGAAATTTTGCGCGATCCAGTCAACGCCACAGGCTGTTGACTGGATCTCTTTTACTTCTAAACTCCGATGCAGACAGAAACCGATTGGAATGCATTTGTTGAGCCACTCGGAGGCTGGAATACTCTCGCGCATTGAGACCAAAAACAAAAAATAGGCTCATCAACAAAACCAAACGAGTGTTCGGCCTTGCGCAATCGAAGTGATGGTTATAACATGTTTGTAGAAAGGGGAAGATGGTGTCATCAAACCTCGATGGCCGAGAACAGACGTTTCTTTTTGCTGTCCCAATTACTTTGAGCCATCACTACGGGTTTTGTGCATAAACGAACACAAACATGCACATACAAATACAGAGACAGACACACTCACACGCATAGAAGTGGACATATGAGCGTAACTAACCAGATCACCTTATACTCGATCAAATAGGCCAGATGTAGAGTATATATACCAATTTTTAGGGATTTTTCGGTGAGTTTTCTTGACTCGTTAGCTTGAATTTTATTTTCGTATGAAAGTAGGGTTTCGAAACTACCAGTAAATCAGTCTAATGAGATGTATTCACCCTATTTCGTCTAGTAGTCGAATTTTCCCACATTCATATGAGTTTAGCTGACGTTTTCATTGAATTAGAGTAGAGTTTCGAGACTCCCAGTAAATCAGTAATATGATACTCCCGCTAAGGTTGTTGATAAGACCGATGCGAGGTCGAACAACTTTTGGGAAAGTAAGGCTATGTGAAATTCAATCAAACGTCAGCTCGACTCATATGATTTAAGGAAAATTCTACTACCAGTCCTTCATCACCTTAGACGAAATAGAGTGAATACACCTTATTAGCTTGAATTTTCTTGTGATGATGATACTTCACTCTGATGATGTCCGTCACATGACGGACGAAAGCTTAGCATTTTTCACCGA